GTTCGTTTTTTCACTACGAACGCTGATTTGCCTCTAGGCATGCGTGCGACTGCTGGCCGAAAAGCCTGAGCTGTCGACCGTGGTGGATACCCACGTCGGCGAACTGACCGCCCAGTGGCAGGATTTGGAAGAGACCACGAAAGAAAAGGGCCAGAAACTGTTCGACGCCAATCGCCAGGCGATCTACGTGCAGACATGCCAGGACATGGACGAATGGGTGGAGGCACTAGAAAAACAGATAGAACTCGACCACTCCGGCCAGGACTTGACGACGGTGAACGTGCTGATGCAGAAACATCAGCTGATCGAGAACGAGATGCTGAAGCGCTCACAGCAGGTATGTCAACTGCAAGCGATGGAGCCACAGCTGGAGGAACTGCACCCTGAAGAGATTGAAGAAATAAAAGCGCATCGATTGACCCTCGAAGAGAAGTAAGATTGCCCACCCCTGTCCCATCTAGGCTGCCGCCCAACTAATGTCGTTCTGTTTCAGGTTCAACCGATTGCAAGGTCCGCTCGAACAACGCCGACGCCAGCTGGAGCGCAAGAAGGAGGCGTTCCAGTTTCTGCGCGACGTCGAGGACGAGAAACTGTGGATCGCCGACCGACAGCCGATGGCGCGTTCGCCGATGCTCGGGGACAACCTGTACGAGTGTCATCGGTTCCAGAAAAAGAATCAGGTAATATACGAATGAAAGTGGTGGCCTGTCACAGCTTCAGATATGACAGTGGGTCTTGAACGCGAATAATGACAGTGTTTCTGGTTCATTTACCTTAGCTATTGAATACTTGCCAACAGTCGTTCTCTACGGCAGTGCGAGTTAGGCCAACTTTATTCGGTTATAAATTAACTTTTGCAAATTAACATTACAGATTACTACAGGTGTATTTCGCCCTTGCCTAAACTTCGCTCCATATTTTTGTCTAACAGAGATGCGGCTTGACATCCATACATCTCAACTTAGCTCCTGCTCAGTAGTCAATCTGCATAATACTGTTAATGTGAAC